AAAGACACCAGATTTCGCAAGCGTGCGTCACACTCAAATATTGCAGCCACGATGCTCTTCCTGTTAGCATCCGCCTGCTAAAATCAAATTCGGAATGAATTTCTTTGTGGAAAGTGATATCCAAAGCGTTGTCAAGGCTCAAACCGTTTTAGCGAACTTTTCTTGAGCCATTTGACAGGATCGGTGCTTTCGACAAGCCGAATAAAGAGCTCGCCCGCAACAAGATAAGGAAGTTGTCAGTTTGTCATGTCATCCCTTTCACAAGCTGTGTTTGTGTGATAAAAACATTTTTTTTTTTTTTTTTGCGTGTGTATGTTTTGTGCAGGACAACACGAGCCTCCCCCGCCGCGGCAGCACGCCGGCCTGCTGCCCGAGTCGCTGATCTGGGCCTACATTGTGCAGCTCAGTTCGGCCCTGCGCACCATCCACACGGCGGGCCTGGCGTGCCGCGTCATGGACCCCAGCAAGATCCTCATCACGGGCAAGACCAGGTTTGTACTGTGTTGGATGCAAATTTCAGGCCACGACGAATAGTCCGACCAAAATTCAACTGACTCTGTCGTGCACCTTGTAACCTGATAAGCTGTCCACCTGAAAGGGTTACACAAGCTAGACCATCAACCATAACCCCCCCACCCCTCCAAAAAAAAAAAATGCATATCAATCCAAAACCAAAGACACAAGACGAGATCATCCACCGCCATTGATTTCCGTGTGCGCAGGTTACGCGTCAACTGCGTCGGCGTGTTTGACGTCTTAACGTTTGACAACAGTCAGACCAACCATCTGGCCCTGATGCCGCAGTACCAGGTGCTCGCCCCAAACCCGAGCCGCACGTCGTCGCCACCCCGGCGATTGAGAACTGGCGCAATGTGTGTTTTTTCAGCAAGCCGACCTGGTTTCGCTCGGCAAAGTCGTGCTGGCGCTGGCCTGCAACTCCCTGGCGGGTATTCAGAGGGAGAACCTGCAGAAGGCCATGGAGCTGGTGTCCATCAATTACTCATCAGACCTCAAGAACCTTATACTGTAAGAAAACCGTTTTGGCGGTTTGGCTTTTAAAAGCGAAAAACTTTCTTGTCTCGAGTTTTCTTTCCAATTTCCCGAAACAACTCTTGTCTTTTGCTTCCTCTGGTCCAAATCGAGTGCGGTACACGCCGTCGCCAAGCGGCGCAGCCGTCTCCTTGTTGCATGTCAACATGTGGCTAATTTGCTTCTCTCAAATGCTTCCCAGATATCTGCTTACGGAACAGTCGCGCCTGCGCAGCGTCAACGACATCATGCCGATGATCGGAGCCCGATTTTACACGCAACTGGACGCCTCCCAGATGAGGAATGATGTCATTGAAGAGGACTTGGCCAAGGTAATGTGCCCCTTTGGTTGTTTGGGAACACGCGTGCCATTCACAAGAGTAAACAATGCCGCTCTTAACGTTTCCATCTGGGGGGGAAAAGTAGTGCCAAGTAGCATTTAGCTCACGGCCAAACATGCTAAAAGCGTGTGTTGATTTTTTTTCAGGAGGTACAAAATGGCCGCCTTTTCCGCCTGCTCGCGAAGTTGGGCACCATCAACGAGAGGCCCGAGTGAGTTGGCCGCCTGATCAGCGTGCTGCATTTGTTACGATTTGGAAATGCTTAAAAACACTTTTTTTTTTAAATGTCGCCACGTGTGAATTCCAGGTTTCAGAAGGACCCCACGTGGTCAGAAACGGGCGACCGCTACCTGCTCAAGCTTTTCCGGGACCACCTGTTTCACCAGGTGACCGAAGCCGGTACGCCGTGGATCGACCTCAGCCACATCGTTTCCTGTCTCAACAAAGTCAGTAATTTTGACATTCAAAGACACTCTGACACTTGCCATGAATGTAATTTGTCGCTTGAATGAGGCCACGCAGGGATGCCGCCATTTGAATAGTTTAGCAAACAGGAAGTAGTTTTTGCCCCTCACCTTCCTCTTTTTTTTTTTTTTCTTGTTTCCGATTCATGATTATGAAATGTAGGGAAAAAAAACAACAAACAAGCAACAGCCCCTCAGATAGTCATAAAAAATGTGTCTCTAGTCCTAACATGTTCTTTGTAATTTAACATTTTTTGTAAAACATATTTGCTGTACAAATGGATCATTATTTTAAAAATCTAGTCTATTTATATTTACTGTCTGGGTCTCAAATTTTCACTGTGTGTGAAAACCTGAAGCTATTTTTCAGTAACTTCGTCAATTTTCATTTTGATGATATTTTTAATGCATGTCTTTAAAAACACTCTTATTTTATTTACACTTGTTTATTTGGTCCATCATGTTTAACATTTATGAAGAAAATGATAATGAAATAGAATAACTCATTATTTTTTTATCTTAATTTAAAATATTTTTTTATGGTTCTTTTTTTTAAACATTTTTATCGACGGTAGCTTAATTTATAAAAAAATTTTAACGTACTTTTTTTAAACGTTATTTTTTATCGACATTATCTTAATTTAAAATATATTTTTAATCGTTCTTTTTTTAAAATATTTTTATCGACATTAGCTTAATCAAAAAAAATGATCGTACTTTTTTAAACATTATTTTTATCGACGTTATCTTAATTAAAAATGTTTTTTTATCGTTCTTTTTTTTTTTTTTTTTTTAAACAGTCTCCATCAGTGTTAAAATAAAAATAAATTTGCGCGAGGCCTCTTTAAATAGTCTTATGTTAATTTGTATTTTATTTTCTTTATTTTTTTAGTCTTCACTTTGTGTACAATTTCATTAGGTCCCTGATTAATGTATATTTTTCGTCTTGGTTTCTGCATGCAAGTATTTATTTGTTTGAAATGTCTATCTAATTATTTATTTATTTATTTTTTGGGCGTTCCCCAGCTGGACGCAGGCGGTCCGGAGAAGATCAGCCTGGTGTCGCGGGACGAGAAGAGCGTGCTAGTGGTGACCTACTCGGACCTGAAGCGCTGCTTCGACAGCACCTTCCAGGAGCTGCAGGCGGCCGCCTCCGGCTCACTGTAGCGCCGCCCCCTAGTGACCTGGAGGGCGCACTACTATTGCACTACGGCGGGCCATCAACCTTCCGAGCGAGCCCGGCGGGTGGCCGAGCTCACGAGACATTTCAACATCAGCATTTTTTTGGGCGGGAAGGCCTCAGTCGCATACACTGTCCAACCGGGAAGGCTTTTGTTTCCCCTCTAAAGTGTATTTTTTTTAAGTCTTTCCTAAAAAAAGAAAAGGAAAAAAAAAACCTGCAAGCTGGAAAAAGGATATATGTAACGGACGCTTGGGACGGCGAATTCCTACTTTTTTTTTTTTTTTTTTTTTTTTTACATTTTTGGGGGAACAAACCAATGCAAACCATGCAGTTCTTGTTGAGCAAATTTTCCTGCTTTTATTGTTTGTTTGTGAGCGTGGGAGGGGTGGGGGAGGGAGTGTGTTTTCAGAGGAGGGCGCACTCAGATTTTAATTTAATCCCAGGGTTATTTTTTTATGTGTGAATGTATGGCCTTACAGGGTGTACACAGAGTCCCACACACAAACGGAATGATGACGACAAGAAAAAAATACAAAACTTTTTTCTATTCGAGGCTTTTTTAAATCGGGTAACACCCCCCACTGCCCCCTCCCCCTTCCCTTCTCCCTCACCTGGAAAGGACAAACCACTGGGGTAAGGTGCTTGCTTTAGGTTGATGGACGCTGTGGATTTAGTTGTAGCCCACCCCGCCACCCTTGTTTTGCAGCAGCCCCTGGACGGAATGTTGCCCACTGTTTTTTATTTTATTTTTTTTAGAAACCTCTCTTATTTTTCTGTATGTATGTGTGTGTGTTGTTGTTGTTGCCAAAGCGGCAGGGCTAACGTTATCTGCGGACCAACGCCAGCGTGGGTGAAGGGGAACGACACGTAGGATGACGAGTAAGGTAGAGCCCCCCCCACCCGACCCACACACAAACACACACCCGTCATCCTGCCCCCTCGCGATGATTGAATGTGATCGTCCGTCAGTGTTCAGGATTGTTCACGGTGCCCCTTACGTGCTGCGGGATTAAAAAAAAAGACAAAACTGCTCCTGGCCTCCCCGTGCCCCTTCCTAAGAAATGACACCGCGGATCAAACCCTGAAAATTGCTTGCTTGGTGGGTGGGGTGCTGACTGTGTTAGATAATGTACTAAACAGACACATTTGATGAATGTGGTGCTTTAAAACCCCCAACACACACACAGACCCTCACCCACTTCTCACACACACTCCACGACCGACATTTTAGTCTTTTTTTTTTTTTTTTTTGCTCCTCTTGTGTTCCAATGGCTCAAACTTTGCAATATTTGTGTGTACAGCAGTATTTTAATAAAGAATACCGAAAATAATACAGCGTTGTCCTGTTAAAAAAAAAAACAAAAACGCACGTTTAGAGAAAAAAAAAATCTAAAATGTGCATTTTGGGGTACTCAGAACAAAAAAAAAAATTATGAAATTGTCAAAATAATAAATGTAAAAGTATTTTACGCACGCTAAGGCGCACCTAAAAGCATTCAATTTTCTCAAAAGCCAATTGCGCCTTATAATCCGATGTGCCTTATATATGGATCTATATTTTGATTTCTTGGACGTAGTATTTTAAATGTGTAAAGGGCTTTGTTATAGCTGCAGCGGTTGTGATAGCTCAATATAAATCAAGCTGTATTGTATTGTCTTCCCTTTGACTCCATCTAGGGGATGCTCAACGCAACTGCAGCCACGATTGTAGCTTCTTTTATAATCGGTGCGCCCTACATATGTGAAAAACGGTTTTAAAAAAATCGGCCATTCATTGAAGGTGTGCCTCATGGTGCGGAAAATAAGCTAGATACAAAATTTGAAAAAACAAATTGGCACTTTGCACAAATTCCGACTTAATTCTTGAAAGTCATGTGGCTGAGGTTTTTCTGAAACGTGCAGGATCTTGAACTGCATTTGTGATGAGTAGAAATATGATTTTTTTTTTCTTCCCGGAGCTTGTAACAAAGAAAACATTTTGAGGCCATTTCAAAATATTTTATTCGTATATTAGTGTTACTAAAATCATTCCTATTCAATTCTAGCATCAAATTAAGCGTAAACATATCCAGCATATAATGTCAGTGTGAAAAGGAGGCTGTCCTTCCTTTTAACACAGATGAGGTACCAATACAACTATCAACTCTTAATTGTTATGCTAAGCTAAATACAAAGTAATGGAGGAGGGTGAGGGTGGGGGGTGCTAGAGGGAGGGGTAAAAGAAGGTCCAGTTGGAGTCGGGAGCAGAGCAGCCGCCCTGGTCCGAATCCCACTCGGAAGGCCCGTTGCTATGGAGACGTGAGCCTTCCTTCATGTCGTGCCTCCACGATAGACGCTGCAGCTCCTCTGAAGGTAGGACCATGCCGCTGTCGCCCTCCTGAAGCGCACACGAATTGTATTTCATGCTGTGTGTGTGTGTGTATGTGTGTGTGTGTTTTTCCTCACCTCAGATCCGTGAGACGCATCCTCGCAGGGCATTTCTTCAAACATGTCCAGAGTGCCCACCACGGCGTGCATGTAACTACACAATTGAAACATGTCATTTTTCTTCAAGGTCCTATGGCACTTTGTTTTGTGTGTGTGTGTGTGTGTGTGTGTGGGTGGGTGTGTAATTATTTGACATCCTTTTATCAGGAATTGCTCAGAAAGCTATTTTCATGCTCTTCTAGTTGGTCTTAAATGCGTTTTATTTTGAAGGAGTAGTGGCCGTTTTTGTGGGCACCATGGCAGCCCGTCAGTGGAATTTTGGCCGGTCATGCTGTACTCTGACGTACCTTTGCTTCCCCCCCTCTCCTTTTTTCACTTTAAGTCTACTGCTTTGAACTTGTGGCCATTTAAAAAAAAAAAGACTTGTACAAGATTGACTCCCCCCCTCTATTTTATTATTTCAGTCAACAAGATATGGTTAAGTAAAGGCCCCTCATGCCATCAAATTTATTCCCTCTGTGTTATGCTGGTCAAAATGAGTCTTGTAACAGACATATTTCAACGAAACAAATGAAATTCAATCAACCCATCGTAAGCCGCAGTAAAAACATGCGCAGGAGTCACCTTAAGTTGGTGACGGCAAGGGTTTTTTCTCGGAAGGTCTTGCTGCTCTTCCAAGATTCCACGTGAGATCCCAGAGGAATATAATCCTTCCCATCCTGACAACGCAAATCAACCTTGTTAGAAAATACTTTTTTTTTTCCCTCCTCTCAATATTAACAGCTTTCAATCACTTGTGTTGTTTTAGACGGACCCGTTGCGCCATGGACTCGAGCAGGTCTCCGAGGGTGTCCGCCAGGTCGGAGAAGGAGGGTCTCTCGGTGGGCTCAGCCTTCCAGCAGGCCAGCATGGTGCTGTAACTGGACACGCGCAGAAACACGACGTGAGCTCGCGACGCCGCAGCCAAAGCCGACTTCACGTCGCCTTCCTCACATGTCGGCCGTGCTGTACTCTGGCGCCCTCATCCTGGTACCCGCCTTCAGCCTGCGGCAGAACTCTTCGTCGATGTGCAGGCCAGGGTATGGTGACGCCCCTAGAGTAAGTGGGTGGTGTTATTTATGACTTGATGAAATCGTTTGGCCGCCTGGTGGCAGACGGGTTAATGCGTTGACCTCACACTGTAGAGGTTGAGGGTTCGATTCCGGCTCCGGGCGCCGTGTGGAGTTGAATGTTCATGTGGAAGCGGACAAGAATTTTCTTTGTGGAGTGTCTCTCCTTAGCACTATTGTTTCTCAGCAAAAAAAAGTCTGCAATTCTCATTTTTTAAAGAATAAGTAGATTTATAAAAAAAATAAAATTAGGGTATTTCTTGTGGGATAGGGAAAAAAAAAAAACGCCGACACTAATGTCTCTTTTGTGTTTTTGCTTCGTGTCTCTGAGATTGCGGCTTTTCACCTGTGGCATTCCCCTTACCCAAAGAGAAGATCTCCCAAAGCAGGACGCCAAAGGCCCAGACGTCACTCTGAGTGGTGAACACCTTGTCAAAGATGGACTCCGGAGACATCCACTTCAGAGGCAGGCGAGCCTAACAGCCAATTATGCAAAAAAAAAAACAACACATCTTTAAGTGTGCAGGTTTGTGTGTCTCTCTCTCTCTCTCCAGATATCAATGTGGATATATATTTATAAAAGGCGTTTTTAGCTGGAAAAAAACGACCATGTATAGTAAGGCGTTTTTAGCCGAAAAAAACGACCATGTATTGTAAGGTGTTTTTAGCCGAAAAAAAAACGACTATTTTAGGAAGGTGTTTTGAGCCCCAAAAAAAGACCATGTACAGAAAAGGCGTTTTGAGCTGAAAAAAATGTGATGTATAGTAAGGCGTTTTTTTGCCGAAAAAAAACGACCATTTATAGTAAGGCGCTTTGAGCCGGAAAAAAAAAAGCCCATGAATAGTGAGGTGTTTTGAGCTGAAAAAAACGACCATGTAATGTAAGGTGTTTCCCCCCTTAAACGACCATTTATAGCAAGGCGTTTTGAGCCCCAAAAAAACGACCATGTATAGAGTAAGGCGTTTTTAGCAAAAAAACCCCCCTACCATGTATATATAGTAAGGCATTTTTAGCCGAAAAAAACGACCATGTATCGTCAGGCGTTTTTATCAAAAAAAACGACCATCTATAGTAAGGCGTTTTTAGCCGAAAAAAACGACCATGTAGAATAAGGCGTTTTTAGCCGAAAAAAACGACATAGTTTCGTAAGGCGTTTTTAGCCAGAAAAAAACGACATTGTATAGTAAGGCGATTTTAGCCAGAAAAAAACGACCATGTATAGTAAGGCGTTTTTGGCCCCTCACAAAACGACCATGGAAAGTAAGGCGTTTTTAGCCCAAAAAAAAAAACGACCATGTAGAGTAAGGCGTTTTTAGCCGAAAAAAACGACATAGTATACGAAGGCGTTTTTTGCCGAAAAAAACCGACCATGTATATGTATAGTAGGGCATTTTTAGCCCCCTACAAAACGACCATGTAGAGTCAGGCATTTTTAGCTGGAAAAAAAGGACAATGTATTGTATGGCGCTTTTAGCCCAAAAAAAACGACCATGTATAGTCAGGCGTTTTTAGCCGAAAAAAACGACCATGTAGAGTCAGGCATTTTTAGCTGGAAAAAAAGGACAATGTATTGTATGGCGCTTTTAGCCCAAAAAAACCGACCATGTATAGTCAGGCGTTTTTAGCCGAAAAAAACGACCATGTAGAGTCAGGCATTTTTAGCTGGAAAAAAAGGACAATGTATTGTATGGCGCTTTTAGCCCAAAAAAACCGACCATGTATAGTCAGGCGTTTTTAGCCGAAAAAAACGACCATGTAGAGTCAGGCATTTTTAGCTGGAAAAAAAGGACAATGTATTGTATGGCGCTTTTAGCCCAAAAAAACCGACCATGTATAGTCAGGCGTTTTTAGCCGAAAAAAACGACCATGTAGAGTCAGGCATTTTTAGCTGGAAAAAAAGGACAATGTATTGTATGGCGCTTTTAGCCCAAAAAAACCGACCATGTATAGTCAGGCGTTTTTAGCCGAAAAAAACGACCATGTATAGTAAGGCGTTTTTACAGCCCAAAAATTGACTACGTATTGGAAGGCGCTTTTACCAGCAAAAAAATGACCATTTACCATGCACAGCAAGGTGTTTTTAGCCCAAAAAAAAACGACCATGTAAAGGAAGGAGTTTTTAGCTGGAAAACACAACCACATTTAGTCAGGCGTTTTTTTTACCACCCCCCCCCAAAAAAAAATGGCTAATAACTCAGATGTTTTTCCATGTGCCTGTACTGTACTGTATATGCAACAGGCACTCATTCAAGGCGCATGTTGGTTCCTGGCGTGAGGTCGACGAATGACAGAACGAGTGGATTCATCTCGTGAGATATTTGGCTGTGCATCTTGGCAACCCCACCCAGACTGTCTACCATCCTGTCTCTTCGTCTTGTGTTTGCGACATTCCAGAGACAGGGAGAGTAAGATTGTGAGTGAGTGAGAGAGAGATAAAGTGCTCGTCGCACAACAACAGATTAATTGTCTGATCAGAAACACATCCAATGCACAAGGATAGCTGGCCAGGAGCGAGCCGGAGGGTGACGGCGGCCACACCGTCAGATCGTGAAGCAGAACGGTCTCAGAGTGAAGATGAAGCCTGTGAGAGCCACCTTCAACGCCATCAACACAAGTCTCTTTGCCTCTCTCAGAAGGAAATGCTAATGAATGTAAACAATTGTGTCAGGTTTTACAATTAAAGATTGAAGGAAACACGTGTCCTGCTCATATTTTAAACATGCTGGGACCCAGATACACTTTGGCAAAAATTCCGAAGGGGGGGGCAAGCAATACATCGCATATTTTACCTTCCATGTATAGTATGGCGTTTTTCGCCGAAAAAAAC